ATATATATATATATATATAAATACTATTATTGCATGCAACATACTTGTATTCCTCATTCACACTGTCATACTCAGCACCTTCCAAGCAACTGTTCTAATAACTAACGGTAAATAACCAAAACCTATCAAGGCCACTGGTTGGTCGTATGTGCTTCCCTAGTCAATACCTAGACACGTCCTTTGCAGGTATTTTCAACAAGAATTCACACTGGATTTCTCGGCTGTAAGACATGCGGCAACGGTAAATGAGCGCGTCATATCAAACATATCGTGATCACTAGGTAACAATACTGTACTGCAAAACATCATTATTTTGTAAAATAACGTTCTCAGAAATTGAGAGTGTATATCCGACGTGATTTGTAACTAACTAACTAACTACGCACACATTATCTTGTGAACTGAGTGTATAACCACATATTCAATATCAAATTATAAACTGTGCTTGGTCGGAATGAATAGCATGTGAATATTATTAATTGGTGGCTGCATTTTGAGAAAATAAAAGGAAAGTGTTTCGGGGGACTATGCTGGGTATATGCCCGTACTGGTGTCAATTAACCACACTCAAGTGTTTAGTATAGGTCTGGTTTAATCAAGAAACGGTGAAACTACAAAAAAGGGAAAAGGATATAAAATACGCTGTCAATAAACATGGCAGCCTGCACACATTTGTACAGCGTTACATGTGAGCAGATCAAATACATTGAAAACGACGGTAAATTCGAGAATAATTTAATCGCTGATTCTACAATAGGTTCTGACAGGCTAATAAATGTGTTGATATACGTGTCTGATGTCTGGAACTTTCCAATTGGGCAATGACCTCTGACCCTAACTAAAACAAAAAGAGCTGCGAGTGCTATAGTAAATCTTGAGAAACTAGTGTACAGCACAGAAAGTGATAGAAAATAAAGTTTTACATGGTGTGTTCTATACAGGGCTTAAAGCATATGTGTGCTTGTAAATATAAAAATATTTGTTCGCGTGGTATGTCTTCTCAACTACTAGAGTCGAAGGGGATACCTTGAAGCGTTAAAAAACAATCAGTACTATGTGTATATATTATTTTGAATTACAATACTCCATGATTTTAATAGACAAACAGTCAGGTCATGTGACATAGTAATACACAGACTTACACTAAAGAACTACAGAGGACGACATTTACATCCTAACACATGTGGAATATATGGGAGGTGGTTTCTATAACATCTATTTTTTTTAAATAAAGTGTTTATTAATGCATATCATATTTAATAAGAGTTAGATATAGTGCAACATTTCATCCCAAGTTCAATGTTCAGCTGTTTTGAATATACTTTGCAGATCTAGATAGCATATCTAACTAATTAATTATAACAAAAGGTACTTCAGAAAGATATATATGCCTATAAGCTTTTTACATTGAATATCCGACTGTTCAGTTCTGTGTACTGCATAACAAAATCATTACACACAGTACAGAAAATGTGTTGAATAATATAAATATAAATTAATAGTTGGTCATCATCACCAAGTGCTTACTATCAGATACAACTTTCCTTTTTTGTTGGTAAAATTCAATTTGATGATACAGTCTTGAAAACATTTTATCATATCGTAGTGAACAGCCTAACAAACTCGATGTTCACATAGCATAGTACATTAAATATTACGAGGTATCAATATTTGTCGGGTTAATTTATCAGGTGATATCCCTAGTTCGTAGAACTGGTTTTTACTAGTTACGTCATGAGATAGTGGGACATACACAGTTGCAATTGTAGCCGTCGATGATTGAATGAATTATTATTTTATTATATTTGTTTTTGAAAATGAGACTAATTGCCACAGATAACAATATAGTTCTAACTTTCACTTAAAGCCCACGTAGTGCTTTTCGGCCAATCAGAACGCTCTATTACTAGACATTAATTCTTCTGTTCACGTGTCGGGGTTAGTGCGCCACATGGCACAAGTGTTTGTGACATGATAAAGATTAATCGTCTACACAGTATTTGTCATGTAAACGTCGCGACATGCTGTTACAAAGCAACATAATAGTGCAAATAAATAACAAAACATTGATCTGTCGTAGACTATTATTTATAACATGTTAAATTCAAAACTATTCACCACAAAGTATACGATTCATAACGCTTAATGACATGTAGTACTTAGATGGAATACCATTGCATGAACTAACTGTTATACACGTACTTGTTGTGGAACGTGTTGTGTAGTATGAACATGGTTTTAAGATGAGCATTACACATCGGGAATCTTGACATTTCTTAGTTTTGCTAAATTACAGTTATCGCTTGAAACGCTCAATAATAAAACGAAACTTGAATCGTATGCGTGTCATATTTAAGCACTACTCTACGTGCCCTTAGATCGGAAATTTAATATTTTATCAGTACCCATGTATTGCCAATGACAGAAAGACATCGCATTGCAAACAATTTACATCATTCAGTACACGTCGACTTTTCTTTTTAATGACATCAGAAAAATAATATGATGTTGCATATATAATTCTTGTCAGATAACATATATCGTAATTTATTCACTTGTTTTTCGTAACGCGAACAGACCAGCTCCAATGGCACGTCGGAACACATCAGTATTACATTAAAATTACAATGAATAATGTGGTACAGCATGGATCGCATCAAGCAGAACACAACCAGAGGCATACCATCAAGAATTTAATAAATATTTAAATGAAAACGTTCAGCAGAAAAAAACACTACAATAGACCATTTTCCGTTCACTGCGAGAATCACGAGTTATGCGTGAAATCGAACGTAAAAACAGGACAAACAAAGGTCATAGCGTCGTAGTCGCGTCAAACATCGCGTGGGATTCGACAAACGCGAAAGCATTTCGGGGACATTTCCATGCTTAATAATGTGCTGTACACATTTGATGATAGGCAATTTCGATTAAGTAAGGGTATTCGGAAGCAATATTCCTCTGTCGAAGATCGGCCGGTCAATGTAAGCTACGAAATAAAGAAATTCTAGTTCGAAATCAAATCGTTCGATTTTTGCGGCAGACGTTCGACGCGCGTCTTTCATGCATCTCGCGAGATCTCGCAATTGTACGGAAAATCACCTATTCACACGCACGCACATATTTATTTAGCTGTGCTGTGTTTTTGTACGAGTAAATGTCAAAAATGAATATAGCAATAATTATTCATAACGCCTAGACAACTCAAAAATACAGAGATGTAAAATTGGATAATCTAATTCAACCTAGTAAAGACGTTTTATACGAGGAAAATATAATTTTATAAAATTATGTTTTCGCTTTTGTTTAGACAGTGTTGGCTATACAATGTTAAAATTACTGAGCTCTACACAAAGAAGAATGTATTTAAAACGAGATTTAAATTATCAAAATACTAAGGTAACCGTAGCTGTTTATATTTTAAAATGATCTGTATTGGTTTTACAGTTGGATGAGGATTCAAACTTTAATGCTGTGGGTTCCCCGTTAAAGCGAGAGGGTCGTCACCTGCGAACGCGCGGGAATTTAGACCAAACAACTTTAACTATTTTTGCATCGCCCATAACGAACGATTTTTTTGTCAACTCGGTTTATTGTTATAATTCGTCATCATACTTTGGCATTGGCACAGGGTCTTCTTTTCTTTTCTTCAACATATTGTTTACTATTCGAATATCTTCATCGATAATGTCATGCAACTCTTGAGAAAATGGGTCAAAATAAAATTTATCGGGATGTCGCCGGTGAAACACGCCCTCTAAGTCCGTGTTTATGCACTCAACACGTTCTGCGGTTAATGTCATGTTCATAAATTGTAACATCCTGTCCAGTTGACGCAATGGATTGTGCACTAAATCTTCATAACGTACTATTATAATCGGCATTCCTGATTCCAAAGAAGTCGCAATTAGCTTCAACCATTTTACATAATGATGTTTTACAAAATTAATCCAAACTGTACCTGTAATAAATACCATAAAATAATAAGTCATTGAACAGTGCAATAATATTATCATTTGAATTACCCACGGCATTCTAACTACTAAAGTTGATTTCACAAGGCGGAGTCAAGTGTGGCTACCAAACAAGACTGCCCTTGTGTTGTGGGTTCTTTTCCCCCACTGCTACTTTTTAGCATTAATTGTGACTTGTATATTTGTATACAGCCAACAAGCAATAACTGGTGACCTTGGTGTAATCAATGTGAACATACAACAGACGCAATCATATACTAGCAGTTAACGGTTTTTATTAAGTATAACGGGAACAGATTAAAGGTCAATATTAATTAAGTCACACCGCACAAGGCTCAAATCCCATCAGGAATACAAGTCGACTAGAACCCTGTGCGTGTTAACCAATTCTCAACGAGTTAGAGCCCGTACAGTAACATGGAGCTTAGATCCAAGTGTAAACAATGTACGAGTGAATTGTTTGAACTGACGCCGTTCTAATCAATAAATATTGCCAAATGTCCAGCATCTGACCAGCCTAATTGGGCAAAACACGTCAATAGAATGACGGCAAAGCAGTACAAAATTACAGCATTTATATAATAATTTGATGAATTAAATAAATGAAGTGCACTCCAAAATATATACAATAATAAGCTCAAAATACGCATGAAATATGTAACCCTGACGTAGTGTTACTGACCAGTATCATACGACGAATGTCAATGTCTTGTAAGCCGAACTTGCAGTTGAACGTGAATAATTAATTAAACGTGTTCGACGAAGTCCAGTGGCCGTTTCAACCACGTGTTGACGTTATCTACGCGAAGACTACCCACTGGCTTCCTTCATAGATACACAGACAGTAAGTTCCGTCAATGTGTTGTCTCAATCTTCGCCGCTTTGCAGCCAGCAATGGTTAAAGTCAGTTCGCCCTAATGTCAGTTCTACGAAAGGTCCGTTGAGACTTGTAACTCCTCTGCATTAGTTGTGTACCAGCTTTAGACAATGATGTCTAACGTGGTTGCGCCAGATGGAATAGCCCCGAGCATGCGATGAAGGCGTAGTTTTATAGGTATCAATGTCCAGGTGCACATACTTGGTATTCAAATTCCCCGACAAGACGATCTGTTCTCTGTACCATACAATTCCAACAAGGGGTGTATGACCCATAATTTAAATAGACACTTAAATTACACAAGTATAATATGTATCTTATCTTGACATCTGTACAGCATTTCTAATCACCTCGTGACAGTTGAATATCAATCCTTTCTTCATTTTCACTTTCATTCATTTTCATGTTTCACATAAAAAATATGTGGAAAATGGTATAAATGTTTTTTACGAATGTTCTTCATGTTTCTATGCAATAATATGCCATAACTGACCAAGATGTTGGCTGGTTCCCGCCTCAAGTGTCATGGTGCACCAAGCCACGAGTGGCCGGTAACTAGTAATGGATCCAGCATTCTGATTGGTCCATCACTTTCTTATTGCTTGTTCTATTTCCCTTGGTTACCTGACGACAGCGCTTACGCTCGTGGCCGTTCAGGGGTTTACTTTCGGAAGTTGGGAGAATAAAAAAACTGTTTCTTTCGTTATTTGTACGGAAACAGCAGAACCATGTCAAGTATTAAGTCCTTGCTGGCAGACTGTATGGGCATGACGTTATTACAGTAATGAAGAATATTTTCAAATTACGTCACTTAGTCACGTGACTTTGGCCCGGAATCCCGACCCAATGACACAATGTAGCGATTACTAGTTACCTGCGTCCTACTTGTCATTTCTAAGGGACGCCTGGAACCAGCGAAACCAAAATGATGACACAGGTTTACTTCTTTAGAAAATGAAAAACCATATTATATTACTCACTGTTTCTGAAAACTTCAAGGGTCGGGTTTCCCATGAATCCACTAAGTCTAAAGATGTGCCACGAGATCAACGAGTCATATGGGTTTCTGATGAGTAATATACCAGACTTAAAGAGTTCAGTATAATGATGAGATTTGTATACCAAAGCACGTCCCAACTGTGGATCATCGAATTCCGCTTTCAACCCTGTATGAGAACACAGCATGCAGATCATTATTATCTTGGATTGCCTTTTTATTTCCCGTTATATGAGAAAATTTCTTGTAAACATTGTTATTGTTCTGTTTAAAATTGTAGACAACTTGGCTGCATGACTTCCTCCCAGATTCAGTGTGGAGGTCAGAATTGGTGACCTCAATACTATGAATAATTATTACATATCACTGTTGATACTATCTACTTGGTGCTATATCTGTATCTTTTATTATTTGCTTGTAAAAACTTGTATGCCTAGAGTGAAGTAGTCATTTCCAAATACAATTAATCAACCTTTATGAACATATTTAACAGTGGCAAAACAACATGCAGTGTACTGTACACGAGTATATATGTACAGTTTGCCTTTATATTTGCAGCCATGGCAAAAAGTTTAACATATTATCAAAATATAGACTTTGCATAAATATATTGAATTGACAGTATATTTTTGGATATGTTCTTATAAACACTTTGCACCTATATCGCAACAACGTTTTCATTTTAATTACCTCCACCAAGACCGTTTTGTTTTTGTTTTTTTGTTTTTTGCTGCCGTCGGCGTGTTAGTGTGTTTTTCTGTCTATCAGCAAAATAATGTAAAATATGAACGAATAATCATTAAATTGTTAGATGATAGTCTTGCGACAACAACAAATAAATTAGATTTTGGGAGAAAGATCAGCATCTGGTTGTTATGAGACCGAATTTAAATATCCTTGAGACAGGAACAAAGTAACTGGAAAGATCTCTAACCGACCGAATACGGTGATTTGGGGAAGGATCCCTCACCATTGCATATAAGGTCATTATACGAAGGTTTATGCTTTTGGATTTCGTTGTCATGTTTCTAATAAAGATGGTTCATAATTCTATCAGAGTGTTGTAAATATTGTACACATGGAAACATACTCCTTGGAGAGAGTGATGGTGTCAAATTACGTATTTGTTGCCATGACATAGGAACCATTTTCTGGGCAATAGGTATTATATACGTGCTTGCATTTCGCTAAATCCTAATTTAAACACAGCACCTGGCATTCTTGGCCAGTATGAAAGATCCCGGTGTATTAGATCAGGAGAAAATACCCTTAAGTTTATGATTACATGATGCAATTGATCTGATGTTATACAGCCGGATGACAGCATAATATATTTAAAGACAATATAATGATGTGTTAACGTTCTTGCCAATGTGCTAATATAGATGCGAGTAATTTCTTAAATAATAAGTTTTGAGACCATGACATTGAGTTACCATGGAATATAATAACCTTTGCGATATAGACCACCAGCATTAGTAAGAGATCCAGTGTAAATCCCTGTTGCAAGTTCCAGCAAATGACGAGTCCACGTATTTCCTGACCTAGGGAAGCTCAACAAGCCAACTAATGGTCTTGACAATTTTGACCAGTTACCGTAATTGATGGTACAGTTGATGGAAAGGCGCTTTTCTGGAATCAGAAATATTTGCATATATTACAAAGGGAATGCAATTTCATGCAATTTCGAATGTGTTGCATGTGACAACACTGCTTTTTAGGTGTATTGTATATCGATGGTCTAAGGTATGTACCTGTCTCTCCAACATCATTGCTTATTGAATGCGTCTCAATTTTCTTAAGGCCAGACACGTGAAACTGTCGAATAAGATACAGCATTATAGGAACAATCATCCACAGTAAAAAATTAGCCTTTTTATTCATAATTAGAAAATTCAATCATCTGTAAAATTTGAGAAAAGAAAAAGTTATCTCGTAATATTTCGTGACCATATTTCATATTACTCACATTTCAGTAGGCAAACTGTATGCAAAATGTCAAATTGAACATCATCTCAAATTACAAAAAACAAAACAGGAAATTGAGAGGGAATATGATTATATAACGGAAAGAGCTATCGTGAGGTCGAGAGTTAATTGGCATGAGAAAGGAGAAAAAAGTAACATGTATTTTTTAGGGGCTAGCTAAGCGGCATGGAAAAAAGACTCACATAAGTAGAATTATTAAGATAATTATCTTAAAACAAAACAAAAAGATATTTGAATGAATTGAAAATATTTTATTCTAATCTATATAAATCAACGTCCAAACTGGATCGAGACATCTCTAATCACTCGTACTTTGACAAGTTGTCTGAAAATGAAAGAAAATCATGTGAATCGAAAATAACATCAAACGAAGCTTTTCATGTCCTTAATTCAATGCCAAAAATAAAACGCCAGGAAACGATGGAACACCATCAGAATTTTACAACACCTTCTGGCCAAAAATTGGGAATCTGATGGTGGAATCACTAAACTATGCATTCAAAAATGGTAGACGCTCTATCTCACAACGCCAAGGGGTGTGT